ACAAGAAGTGCCTAGAGCACAGAATTGGGCAAATTTCAGAGTTAGGATGCTGAATGTTATAAGTATTTTGCAAGGGACTAAAAACAAACAGAAATCTTCTGAGCCTGCAAAAAAAGTATAAAATGAACAAGTGCATGGTAAAACCAACCTTCCCAACTATATTTACACCCATCTTCTCTTCTGCATCATCCACTAGGTCCATGATACTGGGAATATGCTTCGATAAATGAACATATGTCACTCCACCACCAGGAGTTATGCCTTCACTAATGGCTGCAAAAGTTGCGTTCTTTGCATCCTCCACTCTCAGTTTCCTATCCTCGAGTTCAGCTTCAGTGGCCGCCCCAACCTGAAATAGATAAAAAATCCTTTCACATCTCCAGAAACAAACTAACAAATTTTATATCACAACTAAAATGATTTCTGCACTATAAAATTCGACCCTGAAAATAAATTTTATATCCAAATTAAAATGATCTATGCATAATGCACTTCTCTACCCTGAAAATCTATGCAATACACACATCAGGCTCATATCCATTTTTTAATATAAAAACTAGTGGGATATAGGTTTCTAGACATGGTGCCACACCTTGATGACTCCAACACCTCTTGAAAGTTTAGCGATTCTTGCAGAGAACCTTTCTTTTAGATAGGAACTCATTGTCTCCTCTAGATCTTTTTTCAGTTGCATGATTCTGGCCTCGATCTCTGGTCTCATTGAAGGATGTGCTATGATAGTTGTAGATTCACTAGTTATTGTGATTTTCTGAGCCATACCAAGCTGATCCGAAGTAATGCCATGAAGATCCCAGCCAAGGTCACTAGCAAAGAAATCTGCACCTGTTTAGTTACAGAGAAAGAGAACTACTCAGGGACCTTATATGATGTGGAAGCAACATACCATGCAAACACAAAATGAAGTGTAATCCTTATGATGTCTCAAAGCACTAGTGGAAGCTACAAAAAATGCTGAACTTAGCAGGCCATTAAGCGAAATGTAGCTTGCCTCCTAAGTAACATGAACTGCTGAATGTGTAAAGCCACTTCTAATAAATGCCACATTCTATGAGACCAAAGTCTGTACGTTAAGGTATGAAGCTTTGAAACACTAGTTATATATATTCACCTGTCATAATAGCAATATCTTGGAGAATAGCCTTCTTTTCATCTCCCAAACCAGGACATTTAACGACCGCAACATTTAGCAATCCATTCAGTTTGTTAAGAACCAGTGTTGAATACACCTCATGCGACACATCCTCAGCAATAATTAATAAAGGGACACTCAACTGTGTTGTCTTCTCCAGCAAGGGAAGTATCTCTTGGACTTCGTTCACACGCTGATCAGTCAAAAGCACTCTAGCATTTTCAAATTCAACGATTGCTTTGTCTTGATTTGTGATGAAGTATGGAGAAACATACCCCTTGTCTATCTGCAAGGATCAGTGGAGAATAATAATTTTAGATAGCACCTCTACATGCATGTTCCACATAGCAAGAAATGATTCAAAGCAAGTTCTGTCCCTCTTAACATGTTTGAAATAATCATTATTTGATATTTTTCACAGACTTTGGAATAAATCCATTACTGACTGAGCACAACAGAGTTTTTGCACTTCAAAAATCTCTATGGCCGCGTAAATGTACCTTCATTCCTTCCTGGACCTCAACTGTCGTGTATATTGAAGATGATGACTCAATTTTGATTATACCATCAGGACCTATCTTCTCCATTGCATCAGCAATGAGATTGCCAACATATTCATCATTGCCGGACGATATTGAAGCAACAGCTGAAAATGAAATTCAGAATTACTATGGTGACCACTGAGTAGTCTGATGATGCAGATCATGCATAAACAAACATGACATGCCATACCTCAAAGTAATATGCTTGAGAAATAACAATAATAAAAAAAGATGGCTCGTATTTTTTTTCATCATTTGAGCATATGCAGGGGTGCAGTCTTATTTTTCCTAATTTAAATCAAGCTAAAGCTCCTTTCTCTACAAATGTACAAAATAACATATGACACACGGCTTGAGCTTTAAATGTGAATTTAGCACTTGTCAGTAGTAGTAGGCTAGTCGGTGTTCTTTTTCCTCACTTTTCTTATTTTTCGCATTTTTACACACAGGAACCCTCATTTTCCAGAACATAAAGATTACCTTTTATGTCCTCCTTTGTACTCACAGGGATACATTTACTCTTCAAGATCTTAATTAGCTCATGAACGGCTTTGTCGATACCCCTTCTCAATGCAACTGGGTTAGCACCAGTGGCAACTGCCAACAACCCAAGATTGATGATTTCCCGAGCCAAAACAATTGCCGTTGTAGTTCCATCACCAACAGCACTATTTGTCTTGGCTGCTATCTGGCTAAAACATGTCCAGTAAACAAGCAGCAGCGATACTAATCGATTTAAGGATACAAGAAATGTAGCACCTTACCTCTTGAAGTAGTGTAGCACCTGCATGCTCAAGCGCATTTGGGAGCTCTATAGACTTGGCAATTGTGACACCATCATTAATTACTTTAGGTACATCATCTTGGTCAATAACAACATTCCTCCCTGCAATAAACTTCTGAGCTTTCAACAATCAATAGCACTACACGACTAAGGATGAAAACGGAACGGAAATATCCCGAACCGAACCGCATCGTTTTCTATATTTAATCCGATCGAATCCGCATTTTCTTGTCCGACTTTACCGTTTTCGCTTTCGCATTTGAGATGTTTCGTATTTCAAATGTAAAAGTAGAAAACGGTTTACACATTTTTCGACCGTTTTCTACTTTTCTACTTTTAATTTGAAATATTCCGAATTCAAAATTCGGTTTAAACCGAATTTGGCCAACTGCACAGGTCATACAGCCCAATTACAGGCTGCTCACCACGCAGCTGCGTTCTTTCTACTGGTGGCTAGCTACCCTCTCTTATAGACGGCGCCCAGCCTCATCTCTCTTATTATGTATTTGGTCGTGCACTTGTTTAATGCTATGCACTTGAACTAGATCATGCACTTGTTAGTTGTGAACTTGTTATGTATTTGGTCGTGCACTTGTTTAATGCTATGCACTGTGGGTCGGTATTTCGTATTGAATTTTCGCATACCGACCGTGTTCGACATAATTCCGCTCGAATTGGTTCGTTTCCGAAATTCTAGATATTCCGTAAGTTCGTGTTCGTTTTCGTGTCCGGCTTGTCCGCTTTCGCTTTCGTATTTCAAATGTAAAAGTAGAAAACGGTTGAGGAGTTTTTCGACCGAGTTCGACCGTTTTCATCCTTATACACGACACACAAATAGAGTATCTGTATAGTAACAACAGCATGAGATATGAACTTAAGAGCATAAATAGCAACACAGGTCAGAGATCTGAATCTTGAAGTAACTACTCCGAATAGAAATGTCCTAAAGCTAACTGCCTTCATAACACCAAGTCTTCATTTGTCAGCCGGATTGGTTGCACCAATTCCACTTAAGGTGAACTATAGTGGTACCGTTAGCTCAAACATTTTAGGTCCAAATGGGTCTGAAAATTGTAGCTCAGACAAGATTTGATACCCAATCGATATCCGACACCTCACTACACCCCTAGCAAGATAACAGGAACCGAAGCAAGCTTACGAAAGCCTCACCTTTGGGGCCGAGGGTGACGGCGACGGCGTCGGCGAGCTTGTCGATGCCGGCGGCGAGCCCGCGGCGGCAGGCCTCGCCGGTCGATATGACTTTGACGTCTGCCCGCACCACCAGGCGGGGGCCGACCCTGGCCGACCTGGGCAGCAGCTGCTGGGATGAGGACGAGAAGCCGGCTGCGGGGACGACGGAAACGGTGGTCAGGTACATCGAAGCGGCCGCAGGAACCGAGACTGTGCACGCCCGGGGCCGAGCCGCGACTACGATCCGCTAGGCCGAGTGGGGGGATGGGAGGTGGAAGGCGAGGGCAGGCGGCGGCAGAGGAATCCCCTCGCTTGGGCACCAGTGGTGGGGAAGGGGGGGTCAGTGGCGAGAAGAAGGGGGAAGCGAGGCGGCGAGGTGAAGCACCGAAGAACAGCAGAGGGTTTTAGCGACAGAAGGTTTTATCTGCAATATACTGCAGATGTCACTACTCAGGTTCCATTTGGTTCCTAGTTTTTTTTTTCAAAATCTGGATTAAAAAAATCTCAGAATCTTAGTATCTCATCCAAACAGACTAGATTCTGGTGAATTTTAACAGAGACAAAGAATCCAATAAAACACGATAGATTTTTTTTTATCCAGATTCTAAAAATTCCCTAGACCTCAATGGTCACCAGAGTAGCATACAGTTCCTGTACACAGCAGTGAACACCATTGCTCGGCACTCGGCAGATATGGTGAGCGTCCGAGGACGCCACGCCAACGGGAAACCTCCACCGCCGGCAAGCAGAGAGCGGCAGCCCATCCCAGGCCCAGCCAGCGACGCCGTGACGTTTAGCTGAGCATGCCACGCGGCTGCTGCCTCCGCTAGCTACGCAAAGGCCGACAAACAACCAACGCGAGCAACGAACAACAAAACGCAGGTGGTTCACACGAGCACTGTCCGAAAGTGCACCTCAACTAACATTTTACATGTCGAATAGTATCCCATGGCGCGCACACACACAGTGACGGCAATCGACACTACAAAGTCAGCTGCAAATCGGCGTTCGTTTGACATCACCAGAAATTAGCTCTTCCTATCTGTCGCGCATCAAGTATCTGATGAATCCCTAACACGAAGACATTGTACTACATCAGTCACTCCATCGCTCTCCAAACACTGAAAAAAGTCAGCACTGACTCCGAGCGATATTTGTGGTTTCCGTTATCGCTTGCCAAGTGCCAGCAGCCTCATTCCAACGGCTGCCTTGTCCGTCCATCTGGCAATCCCAGAAGAGCAGCCTTCCAACTATCTGTCAACTCTTCAGGCTGGGGGTGTTCCAGCGTAACGGCATCATCGCACTTCAGATGAACTTCATGAGCAGGAGCAAGTCATTTGTCAAAGGGTGGGTTCCTCTGGAACGTCCCAGGAGCAAATATTGGAAAGGAGCCTGTCCTTGCTTTCTCACCCCGGATGTCACGCTGCTGGGCATTCGGATCTCTGCTTCCCTCGGGGCATACTCTTGTGCCTGTCTCATTCCTCTGGCCGCTCACGCCAGGGGTGCTCAGCATGGGTCCGCCGAAGAATATTGACTGCCCAGAATATGTCAGCCTCTCTGAAGGCTGCCCTGACGGCATTGCTGAGGACGAGGCGTTGCCGGGCGCAACACTCCTCGCATGGCTGCTTGGCTCGCCACTTGGGTTCGCCAAGAACCGTGGGTTTCTTGTTGGCATCTCGACACCAGTTCCCATTCTTGTCTGTGCGGGAACTGACACGTACCGACCAGCCTCTTGATCCCAGACGACAGAGGCCCTCCGGTTCTCTCAAACATAAGATGTGGCTGATTGGAACATCGGGTTCGTTATCTGTGTAGCGGAAACAGCTGGCTGCGGTTTCCCTGTGTTGGTTATTTGTGTGGTGGGAACAGGTGGCCGCACCATCGCTGGCACAGGTCTTTCAGGAGGTGCGGGGCGAGGCACTGCACTGAACTGAGAGTGAGAGGCAAGCTTGTGGATGTGGACTGGACTGCTTAAACTGCTTGCGGTTGGTGTGCCGGTATCGTATTCATCCTGGCTTGCAAGGATTTGGGGGTATGAGTTCTGAAGTGGAGAAAGTTTCATCTCACTGTTTGATTCCTTTGTGCCACTGTAGTCAATACTAATGCTGCTCCTGACACTGGCATTGCCGCTGAAGATGACATCAGCTTCATGACCACGACGGGCATCTATTGGTCGCAGAACCGAGGATGATGCCCGAGCTTTTGCAGCAGCTTTCATTACCACATTCTTATCAAGCTTTGCGAGGCTGCGAGCACTGATTTTGACTGCCTTCTTAGCTTTGTTTGCTCTTTCAGCATATCCAGCAGCATCAGGGTCCACGGTTGAAGGCACCATTCCAGGCTCCAAATGTGGGATCATTTCATCCTGGTTGATGGTGTCAACATAAATAAAGTTAGTATATTTGAAGGACTCATTTGAACATTATAATTGTGCTTCTTACTGCTTTGAGCTCTCATCAAGCTTTTAAAGTTGTAGCATCACACATTGCATAGGCTAGCTTTTGGAAGCAACTACTTGCCATATGGCTTACCTGATCGATAAATATCCTTGGAGGTGTACACCAAGCACCTTTGTGGTGAAGACCAAGTGAACTTCCTACACTGAACCCAGTTGTTGCTGAATTTGATGGGGAGTAAATGATATTTGCTCCTTCCTCATCCTCTGGAGCTTCCTCACTCATAGCTCTCATCGCAACGACATAATCATAAGTTGTAATCCCCTGAAATACAACATAGAAAAGGGAGCATAGCTGAGCAAACCAGACCGAAATTTCCGTGTGTAACAGTCCCAATGGTATTGCATGCAGACCTTTCTTATCAATATTATGTGGAAGAAGAAAAGTTCGCCTAATGGTATGCATGCCACCAATGAAAGTAAGGTAAATATGCCCTGCATAAAGAGTTTTTGTCAAGCAACAGCTAAAAATACATTTTAATCTGAAAAAGAGCAATTCAGAATTGCACATTAGTCATCTAATATGGTAGCATGTGCCATAATAAGTGTGTCAACATGTTCGAGAAAAAAAAAGTATCACCATGTTTGATCTTATAAAAAAGACATGTTTGAGAAAGAAAAAAGTGTGTCAGCATGATTCAGGAAAAAAAATATATGTGTCAGCAATACTAAGAATAATTCTAGGGTAAAAATGGTGCTATTGGGTACAATGTTTGAACTTCTTATTCTGACAAGACTGACTGCACAACTCTATTTTGAAACAAAACAATGAATGAAGTGAAAGCATCATAACGGAGCATAAACAAAATAAAATCAAGCGGGTTTGAACTTCTCTTTCAGAAATTGAAACTTGTTACTTCAAACAACTTATAGTCAATAGGAGATTCTCATACACTACAGGCTACATCTACAACTATTTAATACAGCAACTTACCACAATAACAGCAAACGGAGCACGAGTCAAGCCATTCCCCAGCTTGTCTTGGATATTTCTTGATGCATTCTTATCGACAAAACAGAGTACAATAACAGCAATTCCCGCTCCAAATTCAATTGCAAGCTATCATAAAGGAAATTCAAATATTTAGTGCCTTGCAACAAGGAAAAGGAATAAATCTATACAAACCCTATAATAAGTAACTCAAGGAAAGGGACATAGAGCAAACCGATATTGCATACCCAGATAAGACTGATTGCCATCAGAGCAAGGAATGTGAAATAATTCTTCCGCCCAACACAGTTATTTAGCCACTGCATAGATGTACTATATTAGCTGTACATTGTGAAACATTACAGGTAATATAATAGCACAGCACAGGTAAAGAAAGGTACCCGGCAATGATGATCAAATCCATCCACACACTTGTCACAACTTCTGCAGTGTTTGCTGAATTTGCGAACCTGAGAAATTACTTTTTTGTGAAGCAAAAATGAAACAACACAATCTAGACAGTGAGGCATGGTGAAAAGCTAAATCGACATACCTCAGCATTACATAATGTGCAAAACAGAGCCTCTTCACCATTTGCTTGTTGCTCCGAGTCATCAGTTTTTCGGCAGTCCTCCTTGACAAATATAGCGCACAGAAGCCCACCTAGCAACCAACAGCTTGATCTTTTCTTTGGCAGTTGTGGTCCTAGATTCATGTTTGCCTCCCCTATGGATGAACCTCTTTGATTAGAATGCCCATCTAGAGAACTTCTGCAAGTAGACGTTGGGGAGTTTGTTCCTGTAGCATTGCTTACTTTCTGGGGCAAATTCATGCCTTCTATTTCAGAGCCGTTGGTTGGTATATTGATAAGACCATCCTCAAACTTTGACATGATCCCAGGATCCGCAGGGTTTATACTTGTGCATCGAATGTAAAGGATGAAAACCGCAAGTGCCTGAATGTGATGTTGGGAGGAGAAACAACTCATGTTAGCAGATTTTTTTCAAAGTGGAAAAAGGAGAAAAGTTTAACGTGAGGGACACTTACCACAGGAGTATAAACACCAATTGCAATATACTCTACGACTTGCTTTCCCAAAAACGGCGCAAAGAAAGCATAAAACGCAACCACCAGAAGGAAGAACACCGTAATTGCAACGATCTGTCAAAATGAGATGATGAGTAAGTTGCCAATTTTTTTTCCAAATTAAGTGTTTCATTTAACTAGTTTGGAGCTATTTAAACCACAATATGAACTATGAACCAGAAAAGTATGTTGCAAAGAAGCACAATATCTACCACACATGGTGTAATTTTCCTTTCTGTAGATAGATGGATTAAAAATAAGTATGCATATCTGGTCATCTAGGCACTAGGTAGGGAATATCATAATGGTAGATATATAAGCAGCGCATTCTACATGGCCAGAGAATCACAGGTAAGTTAGAATCACACAAGTCTAACTACATATTAAACTTCCATTGGAGAGCATGAAGTCCATATGATTTTATGTACAAGCAGAAGATATTAGAAAATTGTAAACAACTACAACATTTGTCACATGAACAACAGTCATTTCTTTGAATTAGAAGTCATATACTCTGTTCACTGCTAAATCTATTGGTACACAAGGGCATTTCAAACTATTCTCGGTGTTAAATCTATAATACCATTAGAGCTGCATAGACGCAAAATTATAGACGAGAGAGGTTGCATTTTCTGTGTGCATTTCATCGATCCTCGCCACTGGACAAGTGTTAGTAGACGAAAAGTCATTGTGAATCAAGACATATGACCCTGCTCTGTTGTTAGATAGAAGAAAAAAAATAGTCCCAGAGGGCAGTGGCTGAGCTACCATAGGGCTCAAAATCCTGACAGATACAGCACGACAGTTTTACTACAATCTGCACGATTCGCAGCCACACTGTAAGAATCGCATACCGACCCAATTCGCGAAGTATTTACATCAGTCATTTCTCTCGACTAAGGAGTCACATTGAAAAATAAGTAAGGGGGAAAAAGCCCAACAACTACTAGCCCGAGGCGGGCCTCTCAGCAGATCTTCAAAATAAGCGCAGCGGACCTCGAATTTCTCGCGGCACACCCGCGCCGCACGGGGATCGAATTCTACAGCGGATTCTGCTCGTTACTAGACAAGCCGGCGCGGATCACACCGAGGCAGAGCAGAGAAGCGATCCAGAAAATGAGAAGAGGCGGGGGGCGGCGAAGAGAAAGGATCAGTGAGTGCACCTGCAGGGTGTGGGCTGGGAGCTGCCAGCCGTGCTTCCGCGCCATGGCTCCCCGCCGGACCTCCCCTCGGAGCCCCCTCCGGACTCCGAAGCCGCCGCACAGATGAGCGCACCTCCCTCCCTTCCTCCCGGCCGGCACCGGCAGGCGGCAGCAAAAGGCGAGAGAGGACAGGACGGCAGGCTTCCCTTTCCAGCGCCGCCGGGTTTGGTACCCGCCGTCTACCCGGTGGTAGTTCAGTAATAAAAATAATAATAAAAGCTGGAGATTTTTATTCCCCTCCTCTCTCTCCTGCTATTTTCTCACTCTATCTACTAATAACTGTAGTTGCTTTTTTTTTTTGGAGCAGTCGGCAGCAGTGGTTCGTTGGAGAAAAGATTGGGTCAAACACTCCATTCCAGTCCAGCTAGAACTGCAGGGTACGTTCTTATTTTAGGAGGTCATACTGATTCCATGCCAAAATTCGCCCTGATAACGTGAGCTAAAAGTTGGCATTCGATGGATTTCGGCTGTTCATGCTGCCAAGTTGTCAAATAAAAACATTCGTGCCCTATTCGCTCGGCTGAAAAGCTATGACTGAAAATACTGTTGGCTGATTTATTGTGATAGAAAAATATTATTCGTTCACTGGAAAAGTACGACTCATAAACCAAATAAATAGGATGTTGGTTATTTAAATTTTGGCATATCTTATGCCATATGTCTACTCACTATACTTGCAAAATCAATTAAACTTTAATTAAATAAAGCTGAAGAGGCAACGGGACAAGTGGCCTGACTCAAGGGATTTATGGTTCTGAATCTTATCTCTCTTGCTGCGCCAACAGCAGGCCGCCTACCTTGCTCCTCACAAGACCGCCTGCCGGCTGGCGTGCTCACGCTCACGCTTCACGCTCCCGGCGTCAAAGCCACAACCTAGGCCTGGGCCGAGATTTCCTCAACCCGCCTGGGCTGAAAGAAGCCCGAGCGTCCGGAGCCGTTGATCCTGATCCGACGGACGTCCGTCGTTCTCACGAGATCAAAACCACCCGCCGCGGCGCGTCACCGAAACCCTAATTTCATTTCTTCCTTTCCTCTCCCGTCTGCTCTCCTCAGCCACGGCACCCAACTTTCTCTCCACTTCTCAAAACCACGGCGTTCGGAGATGGCGGCGCCGCCGCCAGTCCCCTCGCCGGTGTGCGCACCCACCGTAGGGTGAGCGCCCCGCCGTCGAGCAGTCTAGCGACGGTGCCCTGAGCGCGTGTGCGTGGCTCCCCAAAACCCTAGAGCTCATTCTTTCCTCTACTTCTCTCTCTTCGACGCGCTGCACACCATGACCGCCGCAGAAGACTACTCCGAGACGGGCACGACGAAGGAGATGGCGCCACCGTGGTACCCCTCGTCGGCACACGCGTGCGGCCAGAGCCGCGCGCGACGCCGTCGAGTGGCACCGTGGTGGTGCCCTTTGGGGCCCCGCGCAACGGCGGATCTCTTCTCGCGTGACGGCGGTGGTGACGGCGGTAAGGAGACCAGGTAGGTTCTTCCTCCCCTTCTCCGTCCGTTCCCCTGCTCTAGGGTTTGGGTTAGGTGGATTCTTCTTGCGCCCGCGGCGGCTCGGGGTGCGCTTCCCGCGCGGCGTCGAGGCGACGGCCAGCGGTGGTGATCTAGAGTTAGGGTTTCTGATCCGATTTGGATCAATTCTTTCTTGATTTCTTTTCTATTTTCTACCCTAAACTGGATCTACCCACTAGCAACCATGGCTCTGATACCATTGATAGGTTTCTATGACCATCTAGGCGTAGATCAGTGGGTAAAAACATAACTTAGATAAGAAGACTTGCTGATATACCTCACCAAAAGGCAGTCGCGGCGGTGGTGCCGCCAACAAGGTGGCCATGACGTGTCGGTGATAAGGTCGGTGATGGGGTAGCGCTCTAGTGGCGTCCCAGCGGCGGTGTGGACATCCGGGGCTGTGCCGAGGCGGCGATGAAGGAAGTGGTGTTTCTCGTCGCTCACGGCGCGCCCTTCTAGATCGGACTAGGGCTAGGAACCTCGGTGGGGCGCTGGTGGCTGCGGTGAACCTCGTACATCGAGCCCCAACCCTCACCTCCTATTTATTGCGCTGCCCGATGGGGACCCATCAGCTAGAAGAACGGCTGGGCGCCCCCGATCAGGACGCGGATCAAGGGCACAATTGGCCGTTGGATCAATTTGGTGGAGATCAACCTAACAACTTCAAGACGTGCATTGTGAAGAACGCATCCCTACTTTTTTTTAATTTTGGTTTTCTTCTTCCAGTCTCAAGAATACAACATCCAATGTTCTGTATGAATTGAACATACACTGTTATTAAGTGAAGGGAATAAATATGTGTTTCCCACGTAATTCACCAAACTCGACAAAATAACTAATTGACCTTGGCATGCATATATAAATACATGATCAAATTAAATAAGGGCCTATTTAGAATGTGAAAAACTTTTCTATTCCTGTATTGCTTTTCTGACATTGAACCACATTTATGAAATTACCGTGTGGTTCCCATGAACTGTTTAATTCTCAAAATTTTGCAAAATTTTTCAAGATTCTCCGTCACATCGAATCTTTGGACGCATGCATGAAGCATTAAATATAAATAAAAAATAAAACTAATTATACAGTTTAGACGAAATTTACGAGACAAATCTTTTAAGCCTAATTAGACTATGATTAAACACTAATTGCTAAATAACAACGAAAGTACTATAGTAATATTTTCCAAAAAAATTCACCAACTAAACCAGATTTAGGTCCTGGGTGGGTTGACACTGCAGTGTGAGTTGGGTGTTCCTGCCGGTCCTGAGCTGCTCGGAGTCGGACCCTCGGACTCCTTTGCCTTTGGTACTCGTACAGTCGTACTAGTACTACAGGGGACCAGCCATTAACTCTTTCTGAGTGCATCTAAGCTTTTTAGGAAATTCTGAGTGCATCAAGTGATGTCCAACACCACCGAGTGCTGAAGTGCAACAACAATGAAAATTGATCAAGTAGGTGGAGTAGGTGCATCGGCTCCACACGGGCCAAGTTGTACGCTTTCTGTCATATACGCATTAGGGACAGCCGGACAGTGGCGGAGCTGAGTTGGCAAATCCGCACCGACCAATATCTAATCGCTCAAAGCACCCAAACCAGGCCACAGACGATAGGTACCTAACCGGCTGTTGATCTCTCCACTTATCATGTCTTCGAAATCACTCAACAATGCCACTCATGTTCATCATATTTCCGGTCGCACTAGTGATGCCAATAGATACCCACTGCGGCACTGCCCTACGTCCAAATTCTTTTTCGGTATGGGTAGGACGATATAGGATAAAATAGGGTGTTACCCGTAAATCGATTTCTATCCTAAACTATGTTTTGTTCTCATCACAAATCACATCGGCAGCTAGATGAAAAATGTGTGAATGGCCCGACCAAGAGAAAAAACATCAACAGCTAAATTAAAGAAACAAGAACAAGGTAGTATTAGCGGCGGCGCGCCCTCATCGGAGTTGATGGCATTGGTGTTTGGTTGGCCGCAACACGGCATCGCGAGGACAAGCGCTCCCTTATCAGAGTTGATGGTGTTGGCGTTCGTTCGGCCACGACGCGGCGTCACGAGGACGAGCGCTCCCTTGTTGGAGTTGATGGCGTTGGCGTCTAGTCGGCCACGGCGCGGCGTTGCCTCTTCAAAGTCGGATCGATGGCGTTGGCGTCTAGTCGGCCACGACGCGAGGCCCTACCCCATGCCGAGCGTGATGGCGTTAGACAAGAAGTCGCCACAATCATTGTTGTCATCATCGTCAATCTCGAAGATGGGCCAGTTTGGGTTCTCCATCTTGACGACGATCGGGGTGCCCTAGTAGGCATCTTTGTGGGCGAGTATGGCCCTACCGCGTCCAACAGCTGCTCCACGGCACCATTGGACAAGACATGAGAACCGAGGTGACCGGCAGATACAAGGCCTGACCGGGTCCCTCTCCCCATCTAAAATCAAGTAGGATTATGGGGTTAGACTTGTTAAAGGCTTTTAAATCTTTGAGCATGGTAAGGAAAGGCGACACGATTTGTGCACTGATTTCTACGGGTTTGGCTTCCTGTTGGCGGCTCCGCTGGTGGTGTGCCTTCGACATCTGTCTGCTCTCCAGTGCGTGTCGTTCCAGTACCTGATGGCGACAAGATCATCCGTGGGTTATCCGTACCCATTCAATGTTACCCACGGGGGATGGGGATGAGTAACCCGTGACGTGCCAGATTGCTAGGTCACACTATTGTATCTGATTGTGGTAGAACATGAGGTTTGCTTGGTTGATTATAGGCGTAGAAGCAGAAGAACTGTAATTCAGTACAATTAAATCAAGTTGTTCTATTGAATCACACCCACCACATACATTGACAAAGAGGACGGATAATGGCAAATTAATATAATGATCGTAGAAATCAAATCAATTTGCTTTACTTGCATGCCACCAGAAGACGGCGCCGCAATTTATTGTTGTAACTATGTGTAATGTTTTTTTAATAAAGGCAAACAATACAATGTATCACGGTATTGTCGTCGCATGTATGAATAAACTGATCTTGGCATACATAGAATGTGCATTCGGTTTTATCCTCAAAATCATGTGACAACCTATTTGTGTGTTGACTGGTATCACCAGATTTCTCTCGTGGTTCTAAGGCAATCCTACCACTACTACACTCACACATTTTACAGCCGCGTCGTAACCCACATCATAGTCCAATTTCGGCGGCCTCGGCAGTAAGCTGTCGGCAATGATACTCATAGCCATCACCGTCGGTGTCTGAGAATGACTGGGGTGTACACTACACCGCCGTATTGGCTTATTATCCATCCGTGATAAGGTTCTTACTTCCGTCGCATTGGAACATGATCCACGTGTGTGGGTATGCACTAACACCGCCGCATGGCTTATGATCCGTCCGTGATCAGATCCTTGTTCCGTTGCATTGGAGCGTGACCCGCCTGTGCCAAGGTGAACATCACCGTTGCTTTAGCGTACGGAACCGTCTGGTCATAGGGCATG